TCACGCACCCACACACGTGACAAAATACAAAATACGATGATGCACAAGTCCCATCGTCGGCATGCTCATTATGGTTATCGTAATGGACTTGAGGTCGACAAAATGTTTTTTCTTCAACAACAGAAAAATAATCCACATGCTGTGATGAAGGATGAAAAGAAAGTAGCAAGTTTACGACGTGATGTCTCAAAAGTGCTAGCTCCCGTTATGGATTCACAGTCAGCGAAATGCTACGTTTTGAAACCAAAGCTAAGTGCTTCAAACCACTCACCAAGGTATGGATCATTGCAATATTGCAATATTGGATTCATTGTGAATGAAGAAAAAGCAGAACGTGTGCGCCACATGCTGCGTGGTTCTTCTTACGTCGTTAAGTTCCAATGAGTTTTTACGTAAAAACACAAACAAAGCGGCCCTTTTCAGGGCCACCACACACTCCAAAAAAAGAACTACCGTAACAAACACACTATTTAAATAAATCGAACGTGTTCGTTTTTGACAAATAAAACTTTATTGTTGACCCTGTTCTTGGCTAAAAATCACCCTGGGCGTTTAACCGAGGATGTCCCCAACATGTAACTTTTGTGAAAACAGGGGGTGGGCGCTTGCCCAGGGAGGGGCGCGTGCCCGGGGTAATACGGTAATTAAAATCATATGATACAATAATTTCAGGCTATGTGTTACATGTATAACCATTTTATAAATCTCCTTGAAAACACCTTCTTGCCTTCATGTAATTCACTGTAATCTCATTTCGATGGTGATTCACTATTTGGAAGTTTTTTATGTGCTGCCCTTTATGTTCAAGATTGATTGGATGAGCCATACATGTAGGTTATTTCAAAATTATATTTTTTGGCACCAATGACTTAAATACCACAGTTGCTGTGATTGGTTGGATACATTTTAACAGCCATTGTGTTTTAACAAGTCAAGCATAGACCACAACCATTAATTCATAAATTATCCATGAAAGATTAAACATGTAGGTACATGTACAAACAATGTACTGTGGTTCATGGGACTATGGTACAGCTGCAATAAAATATGAACAGGTACAAAATACTACTATTACTGTGAAAAAGACCTGGAGTACATGTTGACAATAGTGTAACATTTGACCACCACATTAAGGTTGTATGCGCGGAAATGCACTGCGCATACGTTCTGCGCATTTGAAGCAGACTTTCAAGATGGCTGCCACAACAAACAAGTACGCTTCGCGATCGCCGAATGCACGCAAATTTAAAGGATTTTTGACCGAGAAAGAGAAGAGAAGAAGATTGGCAGTTATCCAGGCGAACCGCCAACATAAGAAAGTTGCTGAAGTAGTTTTAGAATCAAATTCAGGTACGTACGTACGGTGTCAGTTTACGACGTAAACTTTGGTTGAGTCGTCTGCAACTGTTATCCACAACTCGAATCAATATATTTTCACATTTTATTTGTTTTTATGAACATCAGATTATGCTTATTTTGGGGGAAACAGTGTTTATTTTTTCCTAATTCCTGTTTCACTAAATACAGAAATTGTGATAAAAAAAATATTTGACAACGAAGTTTGTCTGTCGCGTCGTCTGCAGCTTTCATTAATTATGACGAGGTGCCTTCAACGCGAACTGGTAATTTTAACTATACGCACAAAACCCCCAATTTGAGGGC